CTACAAAGAGTTTAGCATCAGTTGAATTTTAATTTGCATAATATGTGTCCTACTCCCATGAAAAAGTGTGGTATTATAATGTGGAATAATCACTACAAATTAAATATTATTTACACTTTTTCTCAATCGTTGTACCTGTATATAGCCATTCAAAAAATGTTACTATAGCACAGTATGTAAGACCCATTGGACTTCCAAGTAACCCCGGGAAATTGTAAATCCGTGTAAAATTTTAAAAAGATTTTAAAGTTTATTCCTTCACGGATAATTACTCAATCAGGCCAAATTTCAAACTTGGCTGTATTTCAATCCTTTCACATGCTCTCCTGTATTTTCATTCACTAGTTAACATTTGCTAGGGTTCACAAATTGCTAATAATATTTTGACAATTATGACTGGTTTGCTTAAAAATACTAAATAAGACCAAATTTCAGTAATTTCAGAGTAAAACTTTAAGTGAGATATAAAACTGCAAAAGAACATAATTGCTACCAAGAACACTTCAAAAGAGCACTGCCTTATCACACATTCACATTAAAAACACTTTATGCCAAGCATCAGTAAAATGTCTCATGTCATCAAGAAATGGGATGCAAAATTAAGCTAGTAGTGTGTATGACCACCATTTGCATGAATCACCACAATACTTCTGCGCATGTTCTGAATAAAGTGGGATAACTGTTGTTGGGTACTCGTCCTATTCTTCCAACAAAGCATCGTCCAGTTGCTAAATCATCATGGGAGCATTCTGCCGAGTTCGAATGCAGTTCTGGAACAAATCCCAAACATGTTCAATTGGATTAAGGACTGGTGACCTTGCAGGCCAGTCCATACAAGTAATTCCTTCCTGGTCCAAGTAAGCGTTCACAATGTTGGTTCAATGAGGATGGGCATTGCTGTCCATTAGGATGAGTTGTCACAAACAGCACCTGCATAGGGACAGACTATGGGGGTGAGGATCTCAGCTCGCTACCTGAGGCCAGTGAGAGTCCCAACCTGCATTACAGGTTGGGACTCTCAAGAAATATAAACAACTAGTAAAGCAAAGAAATATAAACAACTAGTAAAGCAAAGAAAGAATGAGTACAAAAATGCGATCCTAGACAGACTACTAGTATCTGAAAAAAACAATCCTAAAGAGTTCTGGCAGACACTTAAAAAACTAAAGGATAGAGAAGAAAATAACAACATAATTAGTCCTGAGACTTGGCAACTACACTTCCAACAACTTTGTGGAACGCCCCCTACTGATGATCACCGAATAGATAAGGAAATAAGTGAATATGAGAAAAAAGAAGGAGACCCTGTCCTTAATANGTCGCAAACTCTAAAAGTCGAAAAGTCGCAATATCCAATAGGGGCCACCATACCAAACAGACTACATTGCCCACTGAAGCTATATTTTAGTCCCATGTTTCTTTCCTGTAAGTCTTAGAATGGTAAGTGACATGGTTTTCCTTAAATGGTCAGGGTCATCATGGGAGCAGTGCCCAAAATAGGGGTTTCTTTAAATTTTGATGCAATATTACATAATGTTTAACAGCATAATGACCAACAATTTTTAATAATAAAATATTAGTATCATGGATATTCAGAAAATGTGACTAGCATAGGTTAACAGTTTACTGTCGTTTTTATGTGATCAACTAAAAAAATTGATGAGATGGGAAGAATATCAATAGAACAGTGTTAAATGTCAAATTTCTTCCATTCTAAGATTCTGAACATAGTGAATGATTGAATCTGACAAACTGCAATGATATGATGATAGACTGCCACATTAATCTAATAGAATGCAAACAATCCCTATCAACAGTGGTTAAAGCATTCAAACAGAATGTAGTAAGGTCCCCATATACCCCCATAGAGACAATAAAATAGAGTACTCTAAAGTAAGAGTACAGTATAAGGTTGTTCTGGGCGGCTTTCAAATTTATGCACCCGGATTTAACCCTCATCCACCTTTCAGGGGCCTCGCAGGCCCGGACCCATTTATCTTTTGCTCTCTCTTCGTTTGCATGAGGTTTTGAGCCTGTTCCTTTCATGTAATCCTCAAGCAACTTATACCCCATCAATGGATAAAGAATTAGTTTTGAAATAATTGTCTTCCTTATATGAAAAAGCTATTTATTTTATATTGGATTATCATTTCTACATTTTTCCTTTAAAGTTACTTTATTAAGATTATATTTGAAATATTTGAAAGTTTGATGGTAAACTATTGGGTGATAAAACTAAAAAGAAAACTTGAAAAATACAAAAATTAAAAATGTGCATTTTATCACCCAGTGACTTCCCTGTGAAAAAGCTATCTATATAATATTTGATGATCATTTCAACATCTTTCCTTTACTTTTACTTTATGAAGATCAATTGGAAATATTTGAAAGTTTGATGGTAAATTATTAGGTGAAAAAACTAAAAAAAAAAACATGAAAAATAAGAAAATTAAAAATGTGCATTTTATCACCCAATAACTCCCCTATGAAAAAGCTATCTGTTTAATATTTGATGATCATTTAAACACCTTTCCCTAACTTTTACTTTTTGAACATTATATTGGAAATATTTGAAAGACTAGGCAAGTCAAAATCCTACGGGGACAAGAATGCAATTTATTATCCATTTAAAGTCATCATTCCATATTTTTCATTCAGCTTTGGGAAAAAATGGGAAAAACAAAAGCAAATATAAAATGGGGCCTTTCACTAATGGTATTCCATAGGAGTCCAAATTCAATGCATATGAAAATGAAGATTTTCATAAATTTTTTTCATTTATTTTCACCCAGTATTTTACCATTCAAACTTTCAAATATTTCCAATATATTCGTCATAAAGTATCCTAAAGGAAAAGATGTCAGAATGATCATCAAATAACAAAAAATAGCTTTTTCATAGGGGAATCAATGGGTGTTAGAATATAAATCTTTAATTTTTCTCATTTTTCATGTGTTTATTTTCACCCAATTTTTTACCATCAAACTTTCAAGTACTTCCAATATAAACTTCATAAAGTATCCTTAAAGGAAAGATGTTGAAATGGTCATCAAATGTCAAATAAATAGCTTTTTCATAGGGGAGTCCTTGGGTGGTAAAATAAAAATCTTTAATTTTTTTTATTTTTTCATGAAAACTTTCACCTGCAAACTAACAAAAAGTGCCAATGTGTCCTCCATTATGCATACTACAAGATCATAGATATTTACTCAAATTAAATGAGATTTATGATTGTTTTTTCTTTTTTTTTTTTTTTTTTTGGGGGGGGGGGGGAGTCAAAATTTCATAGGGGGAGTCACATTTTCATTATGAAAATCTGACTGGGAAGTCACATTTTCATAGTAAAAATCTGACTGGGGAGTCACATTTTAGGGGAGTCAAGATTTTCATGCCTCTGAGGCCCGGTTTCAGGGTTTACGTAGGGTTCCATTTCCTTGTGGATGAGGGTTAAAATCATATAGCGATTTTACGACAATCGTTTACTATCCAATCAAGGTGACAGCTGCGCGTGGATGAGCCCGCAATCATCCTACAAAATTTGTTCTGGGGTATGATACTCTGAAATGCGATCTGACACACACCTTGAAAACTGATATACTGGTTAATTCAGGATCCTTATGTGCCGAGTCTGGTAGTTGGGTAGGCCTGTACCTGTTGAGCATAAAAATTTGATGTTGAATTTGCAGTTAAGCATAATGTACTTTGGCATCAGAATTGACAATAGCCTATTTTGTGCATTGTTATTGTCTGCTTTTTGTCTGTACATTTGACAGCTTTGCTGCCTTGTTAGGATTGGCATGCAGTTCAAATTAGAAAGCCAGCTCTATTGGGTTATCATTTATTATTGAATTTATGCAATTTTGTGTGAAATTTTCATTTTTCTCATTCTGGCATTTTCAGAGTGTGAACTTAAACTCCCATCGGCATGAAGCCTTATGCTTGTTACACATTTTACTCACATTGGTATTACCTGTTGAGAATAATTAAAATTTGATGTTGAATTTGCAGTTAAGCATAATGTACTTTTGCATCAGAATTGGCAGTAGCCTATTTTGTGCATTGTTATTTTCTGCTTTTTGTCTGTACATTTGACAGCTTTGCTGCCTTGTTTTATATTCTACTTTACACCAGGCATTGGATCGATCCATGTATACCTGTGTTTATGGGAATGGGGCCTTAGACCCCATTCCCATAGATTTTAGATCGATCTATCCCTGTGGGGAGTCTCACTAGATTACTGTCAGCTTAGCCGGCTTAAGCATCTGTTCTGCCTACTTAAAGCTGTAAGGGGGTAATTAACTATGGTGCACTCTCGTCTGACTGCAATTTAGCATGAACCCCCAGGGAGTTAGGTGGCTCTAAATCTAAATCTCTGGATCAATCTAAATCTCTGGGAATGCACCCTTAGATGATAAAAGCAGATATATTTCCTGGGACTTCCACTCCTCCATTTGATAGATGCCACTGGAAATATTTTCTCTTAGGTTTGAAAGTCAGATTTTTCACCAAAAATTCGAGGAGTCATAAGAGGTCTTAGTGGTGTTACTTCCATATAGCTCAGGACATTCTAGCCTAGCTATGACAAGTCACCTGAGAACCGTGAGCATAGAGCTGTTTGTTTGATAAATGTGCTGGGCAAAGGATCAAATTCACCAAGCAAAAAAGCACATTTTTTGTACTATAGTTGAGTAGATTTTATTGGGCACACTATAACTAATTAAGACCTGAATAAGCTGATCAAACCATAATATAAGCTGTTTTGAAGTCTGAGAAACCCCATGAGGCCTGTACTTGCTTTACATGAAAAGCTTAATTAACATATGTCCTTACATGGACTGCATCCTCATATCTCCTAATAAAACCAGAATTACTTAGTGGTGGGTGCGTAACTTTTAAGTAAACAAAATGAACATATAATGTGTGATATATATCAATGTTACTGTATCTCTTGAACACTTAATCTTGATAATGAGATCATATGACCTCAGACGAGATTTTGCGTGATCGGATACAAAATGTCTTCCTGTATGCTTGCGCTACCAACCAACGTGTTGAAAAATGTTTACCAACAAGTTATCTAGGGTAAATATATATACAAAAACTACAATATACTATATTTAAACAACCTGTCTAGGGTTCACAATACTTCCATAGAGCAATAAGTAAATATATAGCCTTGCCCCTATCAAACCTCAATCGAACCTGAGTAACCGCAACCGCAAATGTTAAAATTGTACAAATAACTTGAAGCCTTTATCATAATGCATCCATTAAGCAAAAAGTACAAAAGCTCACACCTATCAATAACATGTATTTCAATAAGACCAGTCACCAGTGTTTGAAAAGGTAAAGAATAACCCAACATCCTAGTTAGACCAGACGAGAGGGCTATTCTGTCATGGAGTTTTTTGGGTTAGTATTGTCAATCATGCTGAGAAAATATCTAACTTAATTTTTCACTTCCAGCGCAATCCTTTAAAAAGGTACGGGTACTTTGATACCTTTCATCTCTACACTTGACTAGAGACTTCATCAGTCACACTGATGTCACGGGGTTGATGTTAATTAGACCATTTATAGTGAAAAAAAAAAAAAAAACTCATTACACTATCCCCAGATATGAGACAGGTTGTGAGCTGTCAGTTTTAAACCACATCAGTTGCTCAAGAAAATGCTGTGCCAGTACCCTTAGGGTAAGATTGACAAGAAGAACATCAGCAGCCTCCTATACAAAATTTCTTGCACAGGGCACAAAGGCAGGGGTTGTAGCCAAATATATTGGGGAGACATAAAGGTTGTTAAAGGTTTGACTGAATGCATTGAAACCCAAATTATGCCAACACATCTGGGGTCTGGTCAAAATGGCTTTTTCTCTTGCAGCAGCACCCACAGAAGTACTCTGAAAACAAGCCACTTCCTATGGAGGTAAAAGGTGATGAGCCGGAATACCAAGAACAGCAGGGCAAAGATCTGGACCCTCCTAAAAACAAACCATCTCCTATGGAGGTAGGTGTTGATGAGCCTAAATGTCTGAATTAAGGAATGTATGTAAGGCAGTAAATAAGTTATTTTGGGGGAAGGGTGACAATATCCTTAATGTAGATCAATATATGTTGAAATGGCCTAAACTGGTCAAAATGGATTTTTCTTTTACAGCAGCACCCACAGCAGTGCTCTGAAAAAGAGCCTATGGATGAAGATGGTTATGGGCCTGATAACCAAGCACAGGACTACTTTGACCTTAACCCTCCTGAAAGCAAATCATCTCCTACAGAGGTAGGTGTTGAAGAGCCTAAATGTCTGAATTAAAGAATGTACGTACGGCAGTAAATAAGATGTTTTGGGGGGAGGAAGGGTGACAATATCCTTATTGTAGATAAATATATGTTCAAATGGCCTGAACTGGTCAAAATGGTTCTTTTCTTTACAGCAGCACCCACAGCAGTGCTCTGAAAACAATCAATGTTCTATGGAGGTAAATGGTTATGGGGCTGATAACCAAGCACAGGACTACTTTGATCTGCACCTTCCTGAAAGCAAATCATCTACAATTGAGGTAGGTGTTGAAGAGCCTGAATGTCTGAATTAAAGAATGTACGTACGGCACTAAATAAGATGTTTGGGGGGGAGGAAGGGTGACAATATCCTTATTGTAGATCAATATATGTTGAAATGGCCTGAACTGGTCAAAATGGATTTTTCTTTTACGGCAGCATCCACAGCAGTACTCTGAAGATGAGCCTATGGAGGAAGATGGTGATGAGCCTGATAACCAAGAGCACGAGTGCAAAGTTCCGCACCCTCCTGACAACAAACCATCTCCTATGGAGGTAGGTGTTGATTAGTCTGCGACGTTAAGCACTAGCCCGAGGCAATTGCCCACCTAAAGTGGCACCGGGCTAGTAAAAAAGTTGATATTTTATAAAGCACTAGCCCGAACGGGTTATTTGAACCTATTTTAACACTCAGTAAGATTTCAAAAATATAAGTCGCCAGTCTTCTTTGTCCCTGCCTCTAATTAGATGTTTCTAGATAGTACAGGGGCGGATTTAGGCCGTCTTCTGGGTCTTCCAGAAGACGGTCAGATTTTCAAGTTTACATTGACGGGTATCCAATTTTTAATGTTGGAAGACGGTCAAAATTGGAGGATGAATCAACAAAGATAATTTGGAAGACTGTCAGTATATAGCTCTGGATCCGCCCCTGTAGTATGATATGCCTCTCAGTTGAAAAAACTCACACCTAGCTCTAACTACTGAATATTGATTAGTTGCTATAAATAACTTCACTGCAGTTATTTATAGCAGCAGTCTGTCTGATCAGCGTGTCGGCATCTTTTTATTTGACCAGTTTGTTGTCATGACTACAAATTGCTGTCAATCAAGAAACTGGATCAAACCGGAATTCCTTAGTACTAGCGACAGGTTTTGTCAAAACAACACTGTCTCCGAAGCAAGTGTTATCTCATAGAACATTTGGGTTAGGACCACTTAGCAGACTGAGGGGTGGAGTATTCTATTTCCTTTTTTCTTTATATTTTTTATTTATAATTTTAATATCCATGAGTAAATACATTTCCCTTTGCTTATTGCCTTTTAAAAACAATAAGACCTTGGCAGTTACATAAATACCCTATGAACTATTCTTGATGGGGGCGTCTCGATAGTCCGAAGGTTCATTGGTCCGAAGGCTCATTGGTCCGAAAAGTGGTAACATTTTCATCGATTTTTAAATCAAGGGTTCATTGGTCCAAAGGTTCTATAGTGATAATTCGGTCCAATGAACCTTCGGACTATTGAACTTTCGGACTATTGCTACGGGCCCTTCTTGACAATGTGGGATAGTTCGGTTTATGCCATGGCTACCCCTCCACACTTTGTCCTGGTAAAGTCCTTGAAAAGTTGTTTTTACAAATATATAACCAAAAGAATTGTAACCAAAAATATTGTAAGACGTTTGTTTAATTAAACTTACAGCACCTATGTATTTTAAATTAGAAGTGGCATTATGTACCGATGTAATTGGAAATAAATTGTCAGAAAAGAGCCATTGTCAATAAAAAGAATAGGAATTGAAAAAAAAGATTTTGATTGCATATAAAAAATGGAAAAAAAAGATATTATAAAAATATGAAAAGTAAGGGTAATTTTATTCAGTATTACAAATTAAAAAAAAAAGAATTTTTTCAATATTAAAATAATTAAAAATATTTTTAATTAATTTTACCACCCCATCAACTGGAAATTAACCTGATTGACTTTGTTATTCACTTGCTCTACTTCTATAATAAGGTTTATAAGAAAGTGCAGTATGGTACCACAACTCTTTACAACATCTGCTTAAACTTTTTAAATGATTATTTAAATTGGGCTAGTGTTTTTTGGTTCGGGCTAGTAAAGTTTGAGAGTCTGCTAGCCCATAGGACTAGTAGTCTAAAAAGTTTTTGGCACAGACTGGTTGATGAGCCTGAATATCTGAATTAAAGAATGTATGTAAGGCAGTAAATAAGTTATTTGGGGGGAAGGGTGACAATATCCTTAATGTAGATCAATATATGTTGAAATGGCCTAAACTGGTCAAAATGGATTTTTCTTTTACGGCAGCATCTACAGCAGTACTCTGAAGATGAGCCTATGGAGGAAGATGGTGATGAGCCTGATAACCAAGAACAGGACTACTTTGATCTGAACCCTCCTGAAAGCAAATCATCTCCTACGGAGGTAGGTGTTGAAGAGCCTGAATGTCTGAATTAAAGAATGTATGTACGGCACTAAATAAGATGTTTTGGGGGGAGGAAGGGTGATAATATCCTTATTGTAGATCAATATATGTTGAAATGGCCTGAACTGGTCAAAATGGCTTTTTTCTTTACAGCATCCACAGCAGTTCCCTGAAAACAATCAATGTTCTATGGAGGTAGATGATGATGGCCCCAAGTACTAAGTACCAATGGAGATAGATGATAATGGGCCTGATACCCAAGCATAGGAGTGCAAAGATCTGCACCCTCCTGAAAACAATTAAACCATCTCCTTTAGTAGAAGCAAAGATTCTTTTTCATAAAGGATAGATTTAAGGAGAAACTTTTGATCGTCGGATTCAACATTGTGTACAGGATTGTCTTATGACATGAAATATTGCCGTCAGATATGACATGTCTACATTGTGAAGTTGTCAAATATTATTTCTACATTTTTGTATTTCATTTTGGTTCATTAGGAAGAACATATAACACAATTGTTGTTTGGGAGAACCATGTTTAACCATCAATTCAACCATTCTTGCAAACTTCTCCATTTATCCTTTATAAATACGAAAGAAAGTGTTTTCTTCATTTCTTGTGCTTCAATCTGCTCACAATTCTGAATAAAAAGGATATCTATCTATCCTTTATATTGTGTGCTAGCTATCAGGATAACCAGCTGTCAGTATTACAACTTCAAAACAACCCATGAACACTGCACATTTGCTCAATTTTCTTTAAAGATACATACAAAGTCAATTTTTGTCACAAAAACCAACCAAATGCCAGCATATAGTTTCACGTAGTATAACTAAGAGAATTACCAAAAAGGCATTGTTTAATTTTACCCGAAAATGATGTTTGAACAGATTTTTCTGCTGGCATTCTAAACTGTATGTTAATGGGGCAGGAAAGTAGGCCACGGAAGTAGGTTAAATTTACAACCATAAATTTAAAGAAAGGAGCAGTCTAAAGGTCTTTTATGGCTGATCGAGTGATCTATTTCAGTTTATCCCTTGGCATGTCAAATTTATTTGAGTCATATAAGAATCTAGTAGAAGTGGTTTACATGTGTTACTGGGAATCCACACTCCACCGATGCTCGGTTCGTATGTACCTTTAAATATCCCCGTCAGGCCACGCAATGAAAGGTTTGGAGTGTACATACATGACATTGTTACTTGTGGTCAAAAACTTTGGAAGAGATGAAGACACTTTAAAGTCACATGCAATAAACTGGCATGGCAGAATTATTCTTGGCTTATACAGAGCTGTGATAAACATTTAGAAATGAGAACAAATAAAAATATGCGGCAAACTCTCTTCAAGAACAATTATTTAAAGAACAAAGTTACTAGGAAAACAAGTAGAATTAAGAACCCAATTATCATGTCTCAAAATCTTCGTGACAAAGGAGATCTAGTGTAAATGATCTTTTCTTTCACTTATATTTTCAGTTCTGAGTGTTGCTTCATATGAAGTCCAATTTAATTACTCTTGTCATACGCTGGATTTCAGTCTCCTGATGTTCAGATCCTGTCTCTTTAACTGGTCACAAAGATATAGAAGTATTTTTTTCTGCCTCTGCCTTGTGTGTCGGACGTACATGAAAGAAAAAACGCTTAATCTTTTAATTATTTCTCCGCCTCTCACACTCCTCCCCACGCGTCGTCCCTGCGGGGGTACAGTCATTAAATCTCGTCTCCATTGGAACGACACATGGGGAGGTGTGTGAGAGGCAGGGAGACTATTAAAAGATTAAGCGTTTTTCCCTTCATGTACGTCCAATAACTATGCCACAAAATTTTGCAATAACAAGCCATTTCTTTTTATAAACACACTTTAGTGGTCTCTGTCTGACCTTCTCTTTGACCTTATAACAGAAAACAAGGCAGCAAAGCTGTCAAATGTACAGACAAAAAACAGGAAATAACTATACACAAAATAGGCTACTGTCAATTCTGATGCAAAAGTACATTATGTTAAACTGCAAATTCAACATCAAATTTTAATGATTGAATCTGACAAACTGCAATGATATGAGTTTATTTCCATTTTTGAAAGTTTATTACACAATACACGATAACAAGTTTACCATCATTTTTACATAATCAACTAGTAATGTTGTAAAGATGCAGGAAATGCCAAACAAACACTTTTACGTATCTTATTAATTAAATAATGAAACTGTTAACATGCCTAAGAATTAAATCTAAGGAAATGTGAAAAAACGGCATTTCTTTAATGGTCTGATTATGCTGATTTTTAAACTCAACCTGCGTTTTAGCAGGAATGACCACTCCTGTGAGTTTAATGACAATTGGCCTATCTGTTTTTTTTATATTGTGTTTACAGTGTTGCATATATGCTGAAAAGTGAAAAAAAAAGCATAACTACTAAAATAGTGGCCCGATCATGCCGATTTTCGAACTTGACCTGCGTTATAATAAGATTGATTACTCCTGTGAGTTTCATGACAACAGGCCTATCAGTTTTCCTTGAAATGTGTTTACAGTGTTGCATATATGCTGAAAAGTGAAAAAACAGCATAACTTCTACAAAAATGGCCCGATCATGCTGATTTTCGAACTTGACCTGCGTTTTATAAATATTCATCAGCTCTGTAAATATACAGCCAAAAAGTAAAACTGCCTTCCACTTATCATGTTTACAATGAAAGTGCACGTCGCTGGCAACAGTGACAGTGACGGCGACGACGGCAGATGCAGGTGATGGCAATATGTACAGACACATTTGTACATATTTACTGTACTGTTTGAGAACAGTAAGTGACATTGTTTTTCGAAAATGGTCATCATGGGAGCAGTGCCCAAAATAGTTTTTTTTTTATTTTGATGCAATATTACATAATGTTTTACAGCATAATGACCATCAATTTTAATAATAAAATATTAGAATCATGGATATTCAGAAAATGTGACTAGCAAAGATCTTCAGGCCCATGGAACTTCAAAGTCACAACTTGAAAATACCAAAATGTAAACAAGAGAGCACTGTTCTGAAATGTTTTTTTTCCCAAATTTTAACAATTTTTTAAACNAAATCATTTTTATTTCAGAAGGCCTTGTATTTTGATATACTGGAAGATCAGAATGAAGCACAGACCAGAAATGAAAGGGACAGACTGGAAAAGTGAGTATCACTGCTTAAGTGGGAATAAGCTATCAATCTGCTTTAAATATTGAACGGAAATGACACTATTATATACATACCTAAACATTTCACTGACAAGTTGAGTATACATGTAGTTGCAGTAAATCAAATTATTGCCACAATATTAACAAGAGAACTCTGAATGCAGACCTACTCTAATTAATTTATAAGTAATAATTAACAATTAATTAATAACTAACCTTTTATAACTAACTTAACAAATGGTTAAAAAGCAAATAATTAACCATTAAATAATTGATGGATCATCACTATGATGAGTTCTTTCTTGGTCCATTTGTGACCCACCTCAAAAATTTCATCAAAGTCTATCCATTTTATTTTGCGTTACACTCACCAGTGTTGCCACAGACAAAAACAAAGATAATTAACAAAAAGGAGGTAATAAAAAAATAATGTTATTTCCTCTTTTAGATTTCAAATGCCAGATCAACAAAATGGTCTATGTCAGCCGTACTTGGAACAAAAACCAGCCACAAGTCCAAACACAGGCAGTCTGACCAATGGACAGTCAGTCACTGAAGGTGCAGCTGGTGCTTTAGTGGAAAGTGCACCTGAAGCAAAGTCTAGCCCCTATAATTTGCATGGAGAAAGGAAAAACACTAACAAGTTGCAATGCTCTAAGTTTGTATATGGGAAAGATTCTAAACTTACACACCAAAAGGACAGTGATAACATGTTAGATTCCAGCGACAATATATCAAAAGATGACACTTACTTGAAAGGGTCTGTACTTTCACCTGATAATAACTGCACTTCAAACAGGACAGAAATTCTGCATGTTTGGCCAGTATCAAGAGTGAACCCTGGAGAACAACTGCAACCCCAACCACCCCAACCCCCTGTACAAGACCCCGAAGAACAACCGGGAGAATTGCAACATCAACAGCTACCACAAGAAGGTATTAACCTAGCCATTCCCCAAAACTTCCATACTGAAAACATACCAGTGCCTGAAGAAGGTGCTCATCAGCCCGAGCCCCAAGCACAGCAGCACCCTGTGGAGTACATAGACCTGCACCCTGAAAATTTATCATTCCCTATACAGGCAGAAGATGATGACACAGGGCAGTACATAGACCTGCACCCAGAAAACATGCCGGAATATTCACCAGCCTGAACACTAAGCACAGCAGTACACTGTGCAAGAGGCTGGGGGTGTACCACCATTCCTGGCATAAATTAGACAATGATGCTATAGATTAAAATTTCAATGAGGGCATGCAGTAGAAATCTTCAGCCACGTGGACAGTAAAGAGCTTTTATAGGCATCTTCTCCTTTTAACAGTCATGGGACAGTGCAGACTTAGAATCAGAAACAACTGAGAAAATGTTATCTTTTGGAAGAAATTGCAAATACTCAAAGAAGCCATTTCACTCACTGCATTTAGAAGGTAAAATGTCAAATTCCAGGCCACATTTTGATTTACCATGTATAGCTAATTTAAATGACAACATTGCTTTCCAGTTGTTGAAGTTATAATTAAGGGATGTGCATGGCTACAGCCCTGTCCAAGCAAAGTGGACAGATTCAAATAAGTACAGGGAATATCTACAGGCAGTAGCGCCTGTACATAAAAAATAAATTACAGTATGCAACTTAAATTATGCATTCTACACAAAGGTCTTCGCATCCAAGGCCTGTCATTCTTTTAAAAAAATGCACCCCCCCCCCTCTTACTTAAAATAATCCTGGATCCGCCCATGGTATACAAGAATCAAATTTTACTTTTATGAAAATATTTTCTGATGGACAAGAAGTTACATAGTAATACATGGCTAAGCCTGTCAAGTCTGCCTGCTGCTTGAGTGGTCTAGCTGTTAGTTAAACTCTCTTCCATCTTGAATTCTGAATATAATGAAATAGCAATGGTTGTAACATGCTTTATACAGGATCTGATGGAGAAATTGAAACATCTTAAGTGCTCAATAAACTATCACTACCAGGGGCGGATCCAAAGATATTTTATGACAGTCTTCCAAATTGTCTTTGTTGATCCATCCTCCTTTTTTGACCGTCTTCTGACAGAAAAAAAAACATAACCGTCAATGTAAACTAGTCCAGAATACGGCATAAATCCGCCCCTGACTACTGCTTATTATTATTGTGAAGTGAAGAATAAGTGTATTTTGAATGGGTAACTGTAAATTAAAAAGACTAGAAGTAGGCAGGAAAATATTCTGTAAATGCTAAGCAACATTATGTTTAAAAAAATGTTCAAGAAGTGCCATTTGGCCACTAGATGAATGAAATAATCACCTAAAATACTTAAAAACTATAGAGTCTCAGGACAATTTAAAAAAAAGAACTAAAAAAATTATTTTCAAAAAGTTTATAACTGATTTGACTTATCTTTTACACTGTACTATTTTTATAAATCAAAATCTTTACTGTCCATATATTTATTTACTTTGTACTAAACATTTTAATATCTTAATATCTGAACTACTTATTTCTTTATTGACTTTATTCTAGTAATCTCATTTGTTCATTTTACCCACCTTAAGTATACTGAACATTTTATATGGGTTTAGACTATAAATTATTATTATTATTATTATTATTATAAAAAGAGTCACTGTCTTTTAATCTTTCGACCAAGTCAGATCCATTTCGCATTATGCAAAATTACCTTAACATTACCTCACATTGGTGTATCAATCACTTTCTTTTCACTCAGCAATGCTTGAAATTATTCAATCTTTCCAAAAATCAATTTCCATATTAGAAAGAGTAGACATTGCTCTTGTCCAATTTTTTACTGATTTGTTCATTTTATCTATCTTAAGTATACTGAACATTTTATATGGCTTTAGACTTAAATTTTTATTATTATTATTATAAAAAGATTATTATTATTATAAAAAGAGTCACTGTGTCTTTTATTCTTTCGACCAAGTCAGATCCATTTCTCCACTCTGAATAAGGTTCATTATAATTGTCAAGCAACGAGCTGCATTTCAGAAAAATGCTATTTTTTTTTTTACCGCTTCATGTAGTGTATGCATGTTTATGTTTATTCACATGTATTGAATTTAAAGGTTTGATAGGATATATATATATATATATATATATATATATATATATATATATATATCCCTGAAGATTTTGATGAAACGGCAGCGAAATGGAACCAAAAGTCAGATCTTTTTCTTTATTTTTCTGTCATATGAACTTTATTTTTGAACTTTTAAACTCTTTATGATAAGTATTTATGGTATATACATGTATATATTTATGAATGTTTGAAAAGTGTGTCAAACTATTGAATGTTGGAGTCTCAGAGAATATGAATCCTGTTACAAGGCAGATGGAGGTTGCACTAATTGACTACTGCAACTTCCATCTCCAGGGCCATAGCCTGAGCAAAATGCCAGAGGGGGCAGTAGGTGGACACGCGGGGGCGAAGCTACCGAGGGGGGTGGGTGTGGTGTGTAAAATTCCAAATTCCAGGGGGGGCAACTGCCCCCCCCCCCCCCGCCCCCCCAGAGGCTACGGCCCTGATCTCTCTCTTGCCCAAGGCAATACAGCACCTACTATATGTATATATATTTCTGCAAGCATGGGTTATTAATATACTGGTATTCAAAAAACTAAAATGTGACTTTTTTCTTGCATTTAAAATATAAAATCTTATGTTATATTTAGACTGTGTATAGTTGACATTAATTGATTAATTAATTAAAGTGGAGGGTTATCAAGTAGTTTCTTCATTCTGTGTACTTCTGAAGTTCTGGTACTAGTTAATTTGCATTGTACCAAATACTGTGAGTCAAACCTATTGCTTAATATCTGGAGTAATACGTCAAGCGTACTAGCAATTGGAAAGATATGACTAAATTTCACTCATAATTTACTCAGAACATAAGAGAAATTTCTTAACATCTAGAGTATGTTTAATATTGTGATAACTTGTTGGAAAATTTCAAGATACTTGGCTTTGTTTTCTTTAATCTTAGTCTTACATCTGTCACATATGATTGCTTACCTCTTGGCCAAAAGCGCCATCTCTATGTAGTTAAGAAGAAGTAGAATAAAAGTCACATGTATGAACAGCTTGAACAGTGTGTTCATCTTTAATTTTATGCAATTCTATGACAACATCAGCTGAATCTATTAAATAAATTTTAATTGAAAATGCTCTGTGAATCTTTTTTTATGTATTTATTTCATTAACTGATCACACAGAATCGTTATTGAACAGGCTTTTAGGCAGGGAAAGGCAGTTCAGGATGGAAAGAACTGCATGCCATTTATTGGTGGAAAACGTCCATCCTGAATCAAAACATTCTTTGATGTATATAGTTCAAATTTGATTATAACTAGGGGAGGGTAATCCACTTTTTTTAATAAAAAGAACCCTTTTTTAAAATACTTTTCAGCTCCCTGGTTACCTGGACAAACTATGCATGTATAGGCATAAAATCTTACTAATATGAAACAAAATTACTTGTCAAACTTCACTGTAAAATTTACAGATAATGGGAAATTAGTTTAAAACAACTGCTAAAAGTCTTACCAAACTGGCTTCTGCAAACTTGTAGGTGTAAGCAAGTCTCAGCCTCTGCCAAATACTTTTCAACTTCCTGGCCATTTGGGTCACAAGGTCTGAGAATCTACTGGCCCAAACCAAAATCTCCTGGCAAAAGTCCACTGTTCAAAATAATAAATAAAAATATAAATAAATAAAAGAATTTCCACACTGAGTTTAAACAGGCTTCCTATTTTGAACAAGAACAGAATTTCTGAAACATGGAATTTTCAAAGGGTATTTAAAAGAATTCAACATTTAACCTGATGATGCTGATGCTTTTTTAGTTATAATCTCTGCGAAATGGCTAACATACCCCCCACACACAGAAAGATAAATAAATAAATAAATAAACCCCCTGAAATCTAGCTGCTTTCTAGCGGGGATTTTTGCACAAGCAAACAAGATGTCAAGAAACAGCTGACCTCTTGCAGAAAATGAAAAAGACACAGTGATATTTATTATTGTTATAAAGGGTATTAGTTGAATTATCAGTATTTCTGTATAAGAATAATAGGACCATTAATATTAGGTCGGCATTATACTTTGCACGTACACAGATACATTCCCATGTTTACATCCAGTCATAAGTGGGTTAGGTCACAAATACTTGTTAAATACAATTCATTCTAAAATTATGCACATTATGTCTATCAATGGCTAACTCAGGTGTAAAAACTTACTTGCTGCAAACACTGGGTCAACTTGTGTGTGTTTTGTATTCGACGCGCCATGTTAAGACTTAAGTGACCAATAGGTCGCGCTGTGCAAAAGACGAGACACTCAATACTGACTGGGTTTGCAGAAGACCGGAGCAGTCCCGCCTCCTGCTTATTTGGTTCACAGATTTCTGTCAACAATTTCTCTTGGCCTGTGGCATGAAATGCCAGCATACTGACAGTATAATATCACCGCGCCTAGCTCATCAACAAATACCCATTCTGATTGGTTCAAAGTTTTAGAACCAGATACAAGAGCCGACCAATCAAATCCCTTGACACGAGTATTATTCCTGTGCATTGTCTTAGAAAACAAATCGAAATATTGACAACTTTTATTGATAGGCGAGCTTTATCTCACCTGCAGGTTAGTTTCGTTTCTTAATCCCAAATGACTATAAAACTTTGTCGAGTTGTAGGTCTCCACATATCGCGTCTTTCTGTCCAGTACAGTGTTTGCGATTCTGTTTTTAGCATCTGTTTAGGAAGAATTTGAAGTCCCTCTAGACTTATACAATGTACATCGCCCACTTGTAGATCTAACTTGGCATATTGGCTGAAACTTTTGGCATTTCTGCAGTATTCCCCCACCATTCAGATCTATGATATTCTATATCTTTCCTAAATGAATTTGTGTAGTGATTTGAAACAATGCCTTTGCAACTCAAATAAATTAATTTGGCAATTCATTTACTAATTTTAGCGTTTTTTAAAGAGAGCCGATGTTGTCGCTGTGTTCAAAATTTGCTGTAATCTCATTGGTCAATTAACTTAGAGGTTTATTAAGAAAAGAAAAAAGGTTTCAAAGACATATTCAGTAAAATATTCGAGAAAAGTATAAATGTCTCGATCAGATAATTCAGAAAAAACATTTTTTTTAAGGGGGAGGGGAGGGATTAAGGGGCTCATACACAATTACCTCATTTGAAGGGGGGTCGTTTTTTGGTATTTTTCAAGGGCCAACGGTGTCATTTGATATGGTTTAGAACTAAGATTCAGTTAGTCACAAATTTAATTTCAAAAGAGGACCACTGATTTTTTTTTTCAGAAATCGAAGGGGGGGGGGGGTGTCAGGAACCACTGACACTGTCAAGGCACTTATGACACATACAAATGATGCAGTATATTTTTCATACTCAATGACTTTATTTAACTTAAAAACATCCTGCATGATAAGTTTAATAGTAAAATCACACAATGTAAAAGACACTTGGGAAATCTAAAAAAAGATGCAATGCTTTATTTATGCTACACAGAAAAAGCACTCCTTTTTTATCATCCAGCCATTCTAAGATGTAAGATAACCATTTTACTAAGTCAGTCATATCACTTCTTACAGTGCAAGAGGCTGTGCATGTCTGAAGAATAAATGATAACGGTTTGTAATAAAAATACTTTTTACACAAAACTACTCCAGTAGTATCATTTGTACATGTATAATTTTATAACTAAGAGAACAGATATCCCTAAATATATAAATTTATACTCATTCTAAAAAAATGTTATTATCATTTTTCATTGATTGTTTTTTAACAATAATTATGCAGCCAAGGCAACAGTGAAGATAGAATGAAAGAGAACCGTCTGAAATGAAGGTTGGGGGCGTGAGTGCTAAGGGCAGTTAATGATCCACCAGAGGGTTCTTTTTCCCAGAGCAGACATACTCCTGCCTAAAGCCTCCCCCCCCCCCCCACCTTCACGTGGAAATTCATAAAACCAGAAAGCTGCTGCCTATTAAATCACTA